GTCCTCTCTGAGTGGCTGTTGGAAGACAGTGAGATGAGGGGACCCTGGAGGACATCACAGGCCCCTGCCCAGTGAGTCGGCCAGGCCGGGGACACTGCCCAGCCTCTCCTCGTCATTTCTCTCTGGTTTTTTCCCTTTTTTCCCTCCTATCGCATAGATATCTTTGCTAATTTCCTTCTAATGATATGCCAGTGATTTTACATTAGGCCTGTGCAACTGCCTTTCTTCTAAAGCAATTAAGTTCCAGCCTTCACCACCTCAGATCAAAAGCGCGTTCTTCACATCTTTGCTTTTTTAACGAGCAAAGCCTTCTCCAAAAGGGCAGGATTGCTGGGGATGTTTCTGGAACATGCTGACTCTGCAGTTGGACTGCTGAAGGGGTGTTTATTATTGTTATTTAAATCTCTCATCCACGTAAGAGTATTCACACCTGAAAGTGGGAAAAAAGGTCTGGGTTTGTTTCTCTTTTACCGTGAAAACACATCTTTGTTCTTTGAGATTTGTTCTTTCCCAGTGCATTAAAAAAACACTCATTTTGCCTTACGGGTAATATTGTCCCAGTTTCATCAGAAACAGGCTCAGTGGGATTCGGTGCCAGCCCCTTGGCGAGTCGAGGCCCCGATAGCCCTGCTTCCTGGGGTTTATCAGGAGGCGATGGGGTGAACCTGGGAGAGGTGTGGCTGGGGGCCCGGTGCTGGAACAAGCTTGACTGGCATTTTTCGCAATAATATCAGAAGATTGGTGCTGTCCTTCCCAGGCTGTTTCCAGGGCGAGCGTCTGAGCATCTGCCTGTGCCTACGAGGGCTGCCTTCCAAGCCCCATGCATTCACGGTAGACTTGGGGGTAGGGGAACAGCCCGTGCCCAGACTTCACCCCTCACAGACGCACAACCCACAGATGCCGGGCAGGTGAACAGCAGCGACGCTGGCTCTCTGGGAACATTTAGGCCTGTTTGTAACCGTGCCAGTGATGCTTACTGGCGTCCTGCTGGGGGATTTGTCAGCAGCAACAGGGTTTGGCTCAGCCTCCCAGCCTGCACAGTGCCTCCCGCCTCAGAAATGCTGGGGCAGCGTCTGTGCATGACTGGGGCCTTGTGACAGGGATGGTGCCACTCTTTCCATATTCGCACTCACGCTGTTGTGGAGTCCACAGATGGGCCTTGAAGGAAGGGTCCCGGAAAGCAGTCTGAGATGCCCCGGAAGGGGACAGTCGCTGCTCTTTCTCTTCTCTCCTGCCTTCCTCTGAAGAAGCCTGGGTGAGAAAGAGACCCGAGTCTGAATCAGAGATCCTGCCCCCAGCCACCCGCCTTCCCAGTTACGCAGACCTGGCCGAGAGGACAGCTGGGGACAGGTGTGGGGGCTGTTGAGTGGCCTGCACTTTCGGCAGAAACAAGGAGGTTGAGAGGAACCTGTGTACACCGAGCGCCTCCTGCTCCCCCAGCACAGCGAGTCTGGCTGTCACAGCCTCTGGGTGGTTCCAGCTTTGGCTGGGGCCTCAGAGCTTCCCCTGCTCTGAAGACCAGAGGCCGTGAGCCAGGGACATTGACAAATGAACCCTTAGGTCCCTATGGAACCCTGAGCTTCACTGGCCAGCTTATCACAGGCATTATCTGCAGAAACTTCCAGAAAGGAGAAGCAGACGTTCTTAGCCGGTTTTCCAGACTCGGGGAAGTAAGGAGCCAACCCACCTGCAAGTAAATAAGGGACCTGGGGCTCCCTGCACCTGCCTCCTGCCAGGTCGTGTCTGTGACAGCAGGTGGCCTCCCTGCTGGACACACACGCAGCCACACTTAGAGATGGAAGCCCACGCCCCCGGGCTGCGGTGGCCCACCATCTTCTCAGCTGCCTCTGAAGGTCACCGTGACCTGCACTCCCCTGGAGAGACTGGGGAACAGGTACACGTTGTGCTTGGCCCTGTCTCTGCCCCACACGTGCACAGGTTTCAGAGGCTGCCGGCTGCTGCCCAGTTAGAGGACGGTCACCCCCAGAGCCCAGCGGAAGGGGCCACTGGTTCTGCCTCTGAGGCCCTGGCTCACAGAACAGCTGAGTGACCCACTGAAACTTGGGGCCCAGAAAGGCAGTGTTCCCCCTGTCAGCTTCTGGTACCTTCTTTCAGGGAGCAGGAGACCCAGGCCAGAGGGGAGGGACCTGCTGAGGGGAGAAGCCCCCACCCCCGGAGGCCCGGAGACCCTCTGTGAGGTGGTCCCCGCTGCTGCCCAGGCCCTGGGCGCCCGTCCTCACGCTGAGCTTTTCTCCGTCCTGCCTCTGTGGCCTCTCCTGGGGTAACCCTCCTGGGGTAACCCTCCTCGGGTAACCCTCCTGGGATGACCTTCCTGCTCCGTGTCCCCTGGGGTCAGATAAATGCTCCCCAGGAGGGGCTTCCTCCTGCCCTGGTCACAGTTGTCCGTTTGAAGTGTGCTCCCACTTTCCTTCCCCCTGTCATCCTATGTCCCTGTCCCGTGGTACCTGGGGACCATCCCTGTCCACCAACATTGATTGAGCGCCGGCTGTGAGCCAGCAGCCCAGGGTGGGGGCATCCACACCAAAGATGAGCAGAGTCTCTGGGCCCGCGGGACACCTAGAAACAGACCAAATGACCAACCCCGAGTACTCGCCCAACGAACAGGATTAAAAAGGCATGAAATGGAATAAAAAGGCAATTCTAATCAAATGGATAGCTGGCTGACCTTTGATGGGAGTAAAAGTAAAGCCCCTTTTGTTCAAAGTAAACTATTTTGATAACCTAAGGTCTGGAGACCCGACGTGTTTTATGCCCCACAGTACTTAGCAGTTAGTAAATGCACAACAAATAAACAGTGATGAAATTAAGTTGTTGTAAAATTCAACGTGGAAGTAATGACTATTTCAAGAATTATTTTTTGTGACCGATTTGTATCTGTGCTTATCAGGTAGCCTGTGCAAGCTCTTTGAGAGTGAATGTCCAGGGACTGGCAATTGTCCGTGACCTTGCAATATACTTCCTGCAATAAAAGGTCTCAGTTGTCAGGCGGGTTTGAATTCTGCAAAGTTTTGTGCCCTCTACTGGTCATACTGGGCAAATCCTCTGCTGCTCCCGGACACTCCGGACCTTGTGGTGTCTGATTGTGATGAGATGACCTTTGGCTCAAGGGTGTGTCAGCCTCCTCTTAGATCTTTCAGCACCTGGAGAGGGCGAGGTTTCAAATGAATGCATGTGAGGAGAACAAAATGTTTCATCTAGGAATTCTGCGTCTCTGAGTAGTATGAAGTCAATGAATGCTTCTGAATCCAATTAGTGCGATTTACTCGAATATGTTAAGTGTCGCTGCAGCGTATGCAGAGCTGCACATCAAGGCTCAAGGGCTTTTGTCTCCATGCGTCCTGGGTTTGAATTCTCCGTTTCCTCTGACCTGACTGTGGGCCAGTTCCTTATCCGGGGGACCCTCAGTGTCTCAGTGCTGAGGGGTTATTATGAGAGTGATACTCATAGAATAGGCCTAGCACATAGTAGGTGCTCACAGAAGGAGAACAATTTCGTGTGTATGGCTCACTTGATAAATCTGAAATGCATATTTTGGAAATAAAAACCAGGAAAGAAGTGGAAGTGGCAACTGTGGCTATCGTAGTTGTTTGGGCTGATTATTATAACGTGTTTGTAACGGTTTCATTTTAAGAGTGGTGATGGCCGAACAAGGATTGGGACTTCTTACATTCATTCAGATGTCTTTTCTCATTACCAGAAACCCCTGTTTCTTGGCCTCGGTCCATTTGTATTCCCAAGGGAGGCTTTTTTCAGGAAAGCGCTGTGTGTGGGAACGGCACCCAGGCTGACCACGGACAGGGTTCAGTGGACAGAAACAGAGGGGGGCGTGCAGGAGGGAGAGCGCCCACACCCGACCGCCTGCCTGCATCGAGGCCACCAGATCCCCCTCCCTCGGCCCGTGCCACCACCACCTGCACCGGCAGCGAGTGCTGTAGGAGGGGTTTCTACTCCACCGAGTGGTCACTGTCACATTCCCCAAGGCTCTAAGGTGTTTGGGCCAAGCGGAGCGCCGGGTGGCGATCTGAGGTCTCCTGGGCAAAAGAGCCCTTTTCTGCGTTGAGCCACGTAGTGACCCCGGTTTGTCCACTGCGCCCACCCAGAGGTGCCCAAGCCCCTGTCAGAGATGAGCTGACCGTGGCCCTTTCAGGGGGACAGAGACTCCCTCTGCTCCACCCGGGAGTTCAGACAGGAGCCAAGCCCCTTTCCCCACCCCCTACCCCCCACCCCCCAGCTGTGACAATAGGGGACCTGTTCCCGCAGCTCAGGAGGAGGCAGTCGAGGCCTGCACGGGGCCTGAGAACCAGGGTGTGGGTTGTGGTGTGACCGGGGGGACAGCACAGGTGGCCCCTGTGCAGATGGGCCGGACCCCGTTTCCCACCCTCTAGCCCTGTGACCACAGGCGAACTAACCCAGCCCATCCTGAGCCCGCGATTCCCCCGCAGGCTGCTGGTACTTCTCTGGGCTGTGGAAATACCAGAGCCACGTCGCGGTAGGCACAGCACAAGGTTCCTTAACCGAAAAAACGATTATCATGTGGGAATAGAGCAGTAATGGTGAACAGGCCTCTCTGAGGGTTTGGGAAGCTACCTCTCAGTGGTGTTTTCCGAGCGCCTCCTCCCTGGGCACCTGCAGGCCTTGTTCATCTCCCCTCTCCCCGCAAACAGACACGCAAACAGAAAAGGAAATTCACCTGGCTTGTTCTAAGGTGAGATGCTTTCCCCAGGCCAGGTGTACATTCAGAGACCCCTCTCCCAAACTCGGACTGACCAGTCGGCGCTCCCAAAGCGCCCCCACTGTCCCCGCACCCCTGCCCAGCCTGACTTTCTCCCGAGAGCCGCCGTGTCCTCTGAGCCTGGCCCTGCCTCTTCCAGGTTTGCCATGGAGCCTTTCTGCCCACTCCTGCTGGCCAGTTTTAGCTTCCCGCTTGCCAAGGCACTCGCGGTCAACGAGACCACCACCGCAGTGAGCAACTGGACCTCCACGACCTCAGGTAAGGACGGGCTGCCTCTCCCTCCCCTGACCTCCCCGTCCCCACCTCTGACCACCCCTCCCCCGTAAGGAGCTCACAGGGCCTTTCAGGGCGATGCAGTGGCTGAGAGAGGAGGAGGAAGGTGTGGCTGGCTTGTGGACTGTGCTTGGAACATGGTGCTCCTATAAAGTCAGCTGGCTAGCGAAGCCAGTCGTTCCGGATTTGACTGGAGCAAAGCTTCACGTTCGGGGGGCGGCGAGCCTAAGCCCAGAGCTGGGAGCTGGCGTCCGCTGCAGTGGGACGAAGGAAGCGGAGGGTTAATCGCCCCGACCCCACGGTGGGGACCTGCCCACACCAGCCGTGAACAAGCAGTGACAGTCAATGTGAGATATTTGAATGCTTGATGTAGCAGTTGAGATTAATTAAGAAATGATAGTTAATATTTTTAGGCAAGATGTTGGTGTAGTTAGGTTTATTAAAAAAAAAAAATGAGAGTCCTTACCTTTCAGAGACGCGTGTTGAAGTATTTACAAATGAAACCATGTGGTTTCTGGGAGTGACTTGGAAAAGAGTAAGTGGGGGACAGGAAGGGACAGGGGCTGCAGGTGAACATAAGTGGCCTTGTCCTGATAGAAAGCTGGGTGGTAGGTCCATGGGGGTTCAGTATTCTATTGTCGTACCTTTTTTATATTGAAAGTTAGAAAGGAGAAAAGGACCGAGGGTCCACTGATACACGTGACAATCTGGGTTCACTCAGAAAGAAGCCAGGCGCAGGAGACCACATGCTGTATGGGTCCGTTTATAAGAAATGGCCGGAAAAGGCAAATCCGGGGCAGGAAGTGTGTTCGTGGTTGGCTGGCTGCAGGTGGGGTGGGGAGTGACCCAGGTGGGCAGGAGGGATCTACCTGGGTTGATGACAATGTTCCAGAACGGGACTGTGGTGACGGCTGTGCGAGTAGAAAGTACAAAGCATCATTGAATTGGGCTCTTAAAATGGGCCTGTTTTATGGTATGTAAAGTGAACCCCAATGGGACAAGCAATCACCATGCACATTTATCAGGAAGAGGAGGAGGAGAGAGCAGAGGAAAGGAGGACACGCCCTTGAAGCGCACCTGAGTGCAGGTCTGGCTCTCCACTCAGTGGCGGAGTGACTTTGAGTGAGTCACGGAACCTCTCTGTGCCTCAGTATCCCCGTTTGCGGAGGAGGTACTAGTAGTAGCGACTTCCTGCAGTAACATGAGGACTAAGAGAGGTGAGTGCCCTGGGATGTAGAGGGTCAGCCGTCATTGCTGTGGGTGGCCGGTCACTGGCCAGGCTCTCACTGCCCAGGGAGGTAGCTCTTCAGTCCCCCTGTAGACCTCCTGCTTGGACAGGGGCCTGACGCAGAGAGACGCCCAGCAGGGTGAGTCCAGGGTCCCCCAGGAGTGGGTATGGATTTCCCGGCAACCCCATGCCTCCCTGGTAGACTCCCAGCCTGTGCGTGGCTGTGGGCTCCTTCCCACAGCAGGGTTAGCAGGACCCTGGAGCCACGGAGGGCTGGTCCCCTCCTCCCTACCTCCCTCCCTCTGTACCCGGGCCTGCTGCCAGCCCCCACATACCTGCTGCATTGCTTCCCCCCCCCACCCCTAAGGCCCCCAGACATAAAACGCAAGGACTTCTCTGACAGGGCATCACTTGGTATATAGGTCAGGGTCCTCCAGAGACACAGGCTCAATAAGACAGAGAAAACGACAGAGGGGGTCACTTCAGCAGGCCCTCCCGCTGGGCCCTTTAGGACTCAGGCTCTTTAGGAACTGGAGCCCAGGGGGCATCCCCACCCGCCCCCCTGCACGGCTTTCTGGGGCCTTCCGGCACAGCTGGCCAGCTGCCAGGTTTAGGTGTGCAGCTGCGTGGCTCAGGTGGACTCACATGCCAGCCCATACGTAACTCTCAAATTTGAGGAGCAGGTTCTATGTAAGCACACACACACATGCACATACACACACATGCACACACACACACACACACATGCATGCACACTTCGCACGTGAGCATATGCATAAGCTTTCAATGAACACTTGACTTGGAGCACCAGCTGGGTAGGATTTGGGGAGAAGGCTGCTCCAAGGTGACCTTTCGTCTCAGTCTGAGCCACACCAATATGAAACGAAACGAAACAGAAAGTGATTCCAGAATTTCCTCTTAGACGCCAACCTAATTCCTGTCCGGAGCCAATGTGATCAGTGCCCATGGGTGTGGGAGGCGGGTGGGGTGGGAGACACGGCCCAGCCTGCCGACCATTTTACTGGCCTGCATTGTTTTTCAAAATTGTGTTTAGGTTGAATTACTCACCAATATTTTAAAATCAGATAATTTTATATAAAAATGCAGATTCCTTCTTTTGGAAAATTGGAAGAACTGGGCACCCCAGGCCTGCGCCTTGGCCCCCGTGGGCCAGGGCTGAAGCACTGTACCCCGTACACAGGGCGTGGGCTCCCCAGTTCCCACCAGGCCTGCCTGCCCCGGGTGTCCCTGCCTCCCCTGTGCCCTCCACAGCAGGCAGCTGACGACAAACGGCAGAAACCCCGAGCGGAGGAACCTGTGTGCCCCTGTGACCTGTCCCTTCTGTCCACATGCACAGCCGCTCCCTGGGGGCCTTGGGTTGTCCAGCCCATCCTGGAACACGTGCCGTGGAACTGCCATGTCTGTAACTGCGGCCTTTACTCCAGGCAACATGTGCGTGAAGGCTGGGCCCTGGAGCCCCCTGACAGAGGCCCCCAGGGTGGTTGTCTGTGGTCCAGGTGCCCCCCTGAAGCTCCCGGGCAGGTCCGCACCCTCGGCCAGAGCCAGCCAGCCCTGGGCCCCCCGAACTGGCCACTCAGTCACCGCCAAGGCAGAAGCTAAGCCAGGCAGCCTGACCTCTGTGCAAATGCAGAAGTGGGCAGCACCCTCCCCAGCTCTGTGGCTGCGCTTGGCTGGGCTTAGATGAAGCCCCGTCTGGGGTGCAGAGCAGCCGTGCCCTCCCTAGTGCTGGGCCAGCCTCGGTATCAGGCATCTCCCCAGAGCCTGGGCCTCAGTTTGCTCCAAGGCGCTGGCAGGTGGGGAGAGTGCTCCGTGGAGCTGCAGGTGTGGAAGCTTCAGGCCAGGTCGGCTCCCCAGGGGGCTGTGTAGCAGGAAAGGCCCCCGAGGGGAGGGACTGGGCAGATGGTCTCAGGAGGTCAAGATGGCGTCACCCTGGCCTTGAGCTACACCGTGGCCTGTGAGCATCGCTAGCCAGAACGGGGAGAAACTGGCAAAGCCTAGAGCGAGGGTGTTTTGTAGGCTGCTCAGGTGCT